AAATGCCAAACAGTAAGGACTTTCTGATAACAGCAGTGCTCAAGTGATTGTACTACAAATCTGCAAGTCGAGCTTGAGGACATGTACTCCAGCTGTTTTCCGTGCTATTTTAGGCGAATCACTCTGTGGTTATGTTCCTGTCCCAATTCCTTTTTTGGCAAGTAAATTTATATAACCACCCAGGAACCGTAATTTGGCCCTTAAGTGCCCTCAGACGCTCATTTCCTGAACCCTTTCCTGATTCTACTTAAGCAGGTCTTCCACAATCATAGACATTTTTCCGGTGTTTACATAAACATCTCCACCCAGCCTCACAGAGATGAACTGGAGATTACCAATTTGTACACATCTTAATCATACTCTTCATTTTTTTTATTTAATTTAATAACAAGTCTCTTGTTGCCACAGTGCTCAGTTGACATACTCAATGAAACAACCTCAGAATAACTGGGATTGAGAGTCTATTCAAAACAAAGCATTGTCATGTGAAAGGCTCTGCCTCTTGTTTTTATTGGCTTTGGAAATGTAAACAGCTGCTTAGCTCAGGTGTGGGGCTCATGGAAACTGTTATCCTCCAAGTAGCTTAGGTGCCTCTGGGAGGAAGGTAGTTTCGAAGAAACTCATCCAGCCAGACATCGGAGCCCATTGGTATCATCCCTGAGGATGCTGAATCCACAACAACAGAATGTTGTGGTTCAGAGCTTCACATCCGTGTAGCCGATACCAGGTGAACATTAAAATAGCTTTCCTAGTCATGACAAACCCGATGCTGTTCTGGCCAACCATTTTCAGAAGTTCCAGTTCTTAAAACTCAAGACTGACATGCTTTCCATTAGATGTGAAAAACATAGAACGGAAGTGCAGAGGACACGGCTACATGCTTCGGAAGGAAGAAAACCTTTTATGCTGACCTGTCCTGGTTACTTATGCTTATCATTCTCAGATCTGAACAGCAAATACAGAAATAATGACCATCAGACTTTTGGCAGATAACCATAAAAAGCGGTCTAACACTCTACTATGGACACAAACAAATCTATCCAGCTGGTCTCTTTAATGAGTGATAATCTCCATAAACTTAAAATGGATTCAGTGACTAACCAGAGTTCAACGAATATCTGAAATCTGACACAACTTTGAGAACAATGGGAAATCTACAGGTGTGCTCAAGGATATTGCTTTTCTTGCCCAAAGGTATCTCAAACAAAACTCTTGAACATCTTTCAAAGATTTGATGACCTTTAGAAACTTTTGTGATTCGATCTGGGAACTCAGTTTCCTGACAGAATGATATAAACCTGCACACCTTGACTGAATCTGTGTAGACACCATCCAATCTGTGAAACTATATGCCATTTAATCTGTGAAACTGTCTAGACACCATACAATCACACTGGAACTGGTGATTTCAGCAGTTCTTACCATTTGTGTATAATAGGCATTCGGCGGTTAGTGAGTCGTCCATAGGCACACCATCTGAAGCCAAAACTATATTCTACAAGAGGTAGGATTTTCCATATCTGTTATAAGCACAGGGTCCAATGTAGGATTGCTGAAGCACTCTGTGCAAAACTGCCACTTTAAACAAACAAAGATAATAAAGGTAATTTATAAAACTGGACCAAACAACCCTGAATGAAGGCACCATCTATCCTCTATATACGCCATCGTAAACATCTCTTCAAAGAATTTCACTCATCCAGTTTACACCTCCAAATAGGTAACTCCCATGATGATAAAAAAATCCCTTGATGTCAAGGCCTGTAAATAGGGTTAAATGTTGAGAACTAACCTTTAAAACGTATGCATGATGTAACCTTGACGCACATATGCAACTAAATGGGTCCATCAGAGTACAAGCATACCTGAACAAGCGAGGCCCCCAGGCATTTCCAACCGGATGACGTCACAGCTGCGACCTCTGGATGTTACGTAATAGGAACCTGCTGTGATGAGCAATACTGTGTTCCTCCTTGTAATTCTCCTCCAACAAGAAGCTCTTGTCTGCTAAATATAGAAAGGCTTAGCACTGCAAAAAAAACCATCACTCCCGTTATGAGATGTGAACATTATCAAGCTAAGGGAGTGGTGAGGACTTCTGTGGACTTGTGGAAACCTAACCTCCCTCAATTTCACCACAACTTATCACAGATAATTAAAAAAGTAATGAAAGGGTCATTTCTGTCAAGAATGAACAACATCTATAAGGTAATTAAACGAGTACTGGGAGGGGTGGACATGTGGCTTGCAGAGTACCGCCAAAACAGATTATGCCCTACACCACTTAAGCATTAATTTATTCTTCGCTGATGTGATTAGGTGTCAAACGTCTGGATGTGTGCAGAGTCTCCAGCGGAGGTGGGAATGAATGGAGTGACCTTGGGTGCTGATGCTGATTAAGCATTATCAGTTGCTCACGCTGCAGCTCGGGATGCTGAGGAAGAGCAAGAGTGGCATCGCTGCAACCCGATCTATCGAAGTGGGAGGAGGCGCTTACATAATTTCCACACAAGAGAGGGAAGGGGGCATGACAGTAGGGAATTGGGAGGCTACAGACAATATGACAACATTATTCAATCCTGACAACATACAACAAAATGGTGGATAAATATATCGGATCATAAATACACTGCCAATTTATTGCTAAAACTTCCTAATCCTACCTTTTGAGTAATTATTTTATAGCTGATATGATGGCTAAAGGTAGAAATCTTTAAAGTCCCCCTGTAGTCAATAACTGTATCCCTTAAAACTCATCTTTGATCACCAAAATTACTTATTTAAATGTTTTTTCCTTGAAGAAAAAATTCTTTATGCCTTAAAATAGCTTGAATGCAACTACACCCTTGCCTCATTTAGTATACGCACTTACGCAGTTCTATGAACGCAGTTCAAATGAGCCCCGCCTCCACTCACTCACACCAGCTTGGAGATCCACTCGTTGACGATCACTCGTTGACGTGATTAGTTACAAGGTAGTTTGTGACGTCAGAAATTCAACACCAGGCGATTTCCAACCAAGTTTTTGAGACTGTCTTTGGTTCAATGCAGTTTTAAGGAGAAAATACTCAACAATTTTTTTTGCCTTATGCATTTGTACATGGTTTGTCTTAAAGCATATTTAAAACACCACATAGACATAAACAACATTGCTTTTCACCACAGGGGGACTTTAAGGTTTTACCCATTTTTATAGGATTTAGACTAAAGATATAATCTAGAATTTTGTGTTTTTAGGTGACAAATAAAAAAATGGCTTTAGTACAGTACAGTTTATTTCTTCTGAAAGCTGGCTTAGAAAAAGAATTGAGTGTGAAATTAAGATCAGTTGACTGGAATTTATCAGCATAAAAAAAATCAGACTTAAGATTTAAAAAAAAAACTACTACCAGACAAAAGAAACATGGCTACCTACCAATATATTGTACATTCTTTTTCATTTAAATACAATCCAAATTTCCACCTTCCTAATTAAACAGTTACTTTTATAGAAGTGGGACCCTAAATGAAGTATTCCTCACAATGCTAATTTTATTCAAAAGAAAACCTCTAAGATCATGAAAATAGACCTTAGCTTCCCAAGACATGATCGTCATAAGAGATTGGGCCGAAGCTAGAGAAGAATGCAGACAGTAAGGAACTGGCGGCCGACACAGTCCAATCAAAGCACATTAAAATTAAATAGAAGACCCAGTCAGATTGCATAGCAGATAACAACATACTCCAAAACCAGACAGCGCTGGAATATTTTGAAACTTCTTACACTTCCATAACAAATCACTTCCATGAAAAATCTTACACCACATTTTGACCACCTTTGAGGAAGCACCAAGTGGAAAACTACCGTCACTCAACAAATCTGTTTACACGATCACAAACAGGATGCGATTACAGAGTTTGAGAGTTGGACTTCGCCTATAAACAAGTTTAGCAACACTGTATTTGATACAGCGTTAACTTTGCAAGGATGCATTTTCCATTCATCCAAGTCTTGGCGTGGTCACATACGGTATAACAGTTTCCATCTACACACAGCTTATTAGTGCAGTTATTGCAACTTGAGAATAACTTTGATATAAGCTGTTATCTAAACATCAGACAGTATACAGAGGCTAAACAGTTTTTGCGGAAAGCAGGTGTGTCTAAAACCAACATCCCAGAGAACAGTTGCGATTGGCAACGTAAACCTGAAAGACTAAACAACACCACCTGACGGCGGTGTAATAAAACAAACAGTGTTTGGATACTGCACTAAAAAGACGTGAACTCCTTACACACAGGACAGCCAAAAACATTTCAGCCGCAGAAGACAAAATAAACTGCCAGATCAAGCAGATCAAGATCAGATTTCTAGCTTTCCAAGCGTAAACATTAACTGCGAATCAACACAAAAGTCTAAAAGGAGACGGAAACATGAAGGAAAGATGAAGAGGGTAGAAGAAAGAATAGATGGATCAGCAAAAAAAAACCTCAACCTTTTAATCAGATACATCTGGGACTTTTCGCTTTGGACGGCATCCTTGGAAAACCATGGAACTTCAGAGATTTGTTATATATAGCAGTACCGCAGTAAAATAAAACTACAACCACATGTAAAGGGAAAAAAGGAAACAGCATCTCTCAAGCCTTCCATGTGAAGAGCATGCTTTGGTCTGTTAACATTCACTAACTTTCGAACAGCCCCCTTGCTTAACTTTCCAAATTGAGGTAGAGGTCGAAACTAACATTGGAAAGGGCAAAGTCTGTCCTTAGCTGTAGGGAAAAAGCAAGTTGGGAACACAGTGTCCAAACCAACATCGGTCCGCAGCCCCCACACTCTACAAGCTGCATTGATTTTGAACTTCAGCTTTCTGCTCTTTCTCTTGCTGAAGGTTCTCATCGTACAACATCATGCTTGATCTCTGCCTAACCTGGCACAGCTTCAAGAACATCCACAACTCCAAGGCAGTGGGGGGAAAAAACACACGGAAGAGGGTGATAAAATATCCCAAAACTGGTACCTGTAAAAGAAGCAGTCACAACACACTAGAACCCCCATGCAGCTTGTGAAGTCGGCAATCAGATTGTCCTGTCCTTTGTTGTGCTGGCTTTAAGATGTACTACAGGTGAGTGGCATCCGTTAGAGCGGGAACTCTTGGCATAGCATCCTCACAGATCTGCAGTGGAGCCCCAAACTGTTTCTCCCTCACACTTTCAGACTCCCTCTCCTGTTTCCCGATCTGTTTTCAGTTGCTGGACTGCACACAGTTGGGGCTTTGTTAGGTGGTGATTTCCCTTGCCGCGGTGAAGACAGAACAACACTTCAGTCAGCAAACAAATACAAGCGCCCGCAGCAGGCGAGCACAGCGCATACAGTCGCTCAGCACTTGTGTGTTCCTCTCGGCTGATACCCTCAGTTTTCCCCCTCCCATCTTCTCTCTCTCTATCATTCTGTCGCTGTCTCTCTCCCTTTCCTCCCCGTCTCACTCTCCCGTTGGCTCTGACTTTGAGGCGGGAGCGTCGGGTTGGCAAATAGACTTGCTGCAAACCGATGACGGCCCACTGCAGGAATATTCTGAGCCAGGAATTTTTTAAGGGCCCAAACAGCCCCTGCAAATGGTGCTGTTTCTTTCCAGGAAAATTTTCTCCATCCTCAAACATGAAAAACGATAAAAAATACACTCTGCATGGGTAAGTACATCAAGATAAGAGACCAGTTTGGGGGAATGACTCTGGAAGCAAAGCTAGTAACAAATATAAATACTTTTAGGGCATAAAGAGTTACAGGGGAAAAGAAATAGAATGACTTTCTCTTACATAAAAAATAAAATCAAAGAAATTTCTGCTTCTCTAGCAAAAAATAAATAAAAATCTATCGAAGCTGAATCCCAAACATTACCCGTCTCTCATTGTTCAAACAAACAATTAGTGAACAATTAGTGAAACAACTATTCCCGAACTCACGCCATTGGTTGAGGTTGACAGAGACGCATCCTGATTGGCTAATATGTGCTGTCTGATTTTGTTTTTCTGTTTACAGAGCTTAGAGTTAACTGGAGTTCTTTTTAGTCCCTTACTGGGCTTGAACAATCAAATCACAAATGTATATGTCAAAATGCCCATCTTTTCAAGTAACCTCATAAACAGTCGTTTATGTCTAAAATGAACGTAATTGAGAAAGCACACGTTTATCAGTATATTAGATCAGTGCATTCGCTCTTAAAGTGATAGCAGTCAAATAAACCTGCTTTGTTCTATTGTAGTTTTTTTGTCATATCCTTTGTTCCTATTTTATCACTATTTACTTGTCTGTAGTGAGCATGAGTTTTTTTTTGTGATTTTGAAATTGGTGATGAGAATTTTATATCACAAAAATTTTATTTAAAGCAAAAATAACTATATTGTGATATAGCGTTATCGTGAAAAAAAATGCGTCACATCGTGATTCAAGATTTTGGTCATATCACCTATCAAAAGAACTATTCCCCCCCCCCCCCAAAAAAAATTATGTTGACATTTACCTACACATTCCAAACCATTTTTTTCTCCATGTAAAAGAAAAGGAGAAATTCTGAATAATCTTTATGTAGCTCTTTATCATACGACATAGTTAACGGCAACCATGTATGTCAAGCTCCAAATATCACAATAAAAGCACCACTAAAGAGGTCCATGTGACTCATTCACTTTATTCCAAGTCCTCTGGCAAACAGACCGATATGTACATTGCTGACATTGATAGTTATCCCTTCCGTCAATGACCAGTGCGTCAATGTGTCCACACCAGCTTTGAAGTCAGTAAATACGGTCAACGGCGGCTCAACCGTAATTGCTCGACAGACAAGAACAAATCTCATTCTTGGACTTTACAGAGTAAGGACTTGACAGCATTTTGTAAATACAAGATCTTGACCAAAAATTGATGCAGCTCCTGATAGAAATAAATGTTGTGATGTTATTTCCATCAAGAGGTGCATCATTTTTTGGTTAAGAAGATCTTGTATTGTCAATGCAAGAGTCCAGCACTCTAAGTCTCCTCCAGCACATCCCAAAGACTTTAAATGAATTTACAGTCTGGACTCAGAGGTGGCAATTCATGTGTGAAAATGTGTCTTCATGCTCCTCCCAACCATTCTTTCTCAATTTGAGCTTGAGGAATTTTGACATTGTCATCCTGGAATATGGCCATGATGTGTCTTCTCACATGGTTGTTTAAGATATGAAAAGCTACACACTCCATCAGTTAGGATTAGAAGAACTGTTGCCAAACATATAACAAGCTAGAAACACAATCACGGCAATAATGATCCAATCATAGACTCTTAAGCATTTGCCTATTTAAATCCAAACATAATTTTTTGTCAGTAAACTGTAATTGCATGGGGAAAACAAAAATGAAACCGTCTTTTTGTGTTCCACTGAGAAAATAACAGCATACAGGTTTGAAAAAACAAGAGGGTGACTAGAAAAAGGAGAATTATCTTTGGGATAATCTATCCCATTTATGATACATGTCAGTTTAATAATAAACAAACATACACATCACCTACATAATAGGATGTGGCTTTCTTAAAAATACTAATGATAGAAAATAAGAGAAAATCACCATCACCTTATAATGTTATACAGAGAATGATATTTTTGTAGCAAATAGCACATTATATGCAACACAAATTAAAAAAGCTCATTGCAAGCGGTCTCTTTATTGTTTCTGTATGTAAATATGCCTACAGATGATCAATTACCTAACCACAGAAAAAGATTACGTCACCCATTGTGTCAATCTAAAACCACTGAGAGGAGAGCTACCTCAAGCCTCAGTTTTAAATCTTAGCTCTCTCTGCATAAAGCCGTGACCACAGTGATCTTCTCCAGGACTCGATGACGTTATTCCTAGCAGCACAAAGTGATTACGGAGCAGAAGCTCTGGAAACTACAGCGCCCAAGCTGTGATAAGAACCTTCCCTTTGTAAGGGAAAAGCTGCAGAGAATACAACTGTTTTCTTCCAGACCTAGCCAGGAAGAATTAACATTTTTTGGGAACACCAGGGAGAAATCCGAATAAGCAGAGAAAGTGCATGTGTCTTGTGTCCTAATGATCTGATCTGACTGTGAATGGACTGGTCACTCAGAGCCTTAAATGCTGGACTCACTGAATCCAATGAATAACAGTTGAGGGGAGGCAATAGGAACGAATGATGCTATATGCATTCGTTTCGGTTCTCTCAAAGGAAATGGGGAAAAAAGAAACACCCCTCCCTTCTAAAAGCAAGATGTACAGGTTTACTGGTTTATTTCACAGAAATTAAACCCCTGAGTTTTGTTGCTCGTTAGAAGAAAACGTAAACGTTTAACAACTTCGTAAACTAAAACAAAGCTGCAAAACCAGTTCGCATGTTTCTGCTAGCATGCGTTACTTGCTAAACATAATAAAACAAAGGTGTTCGTTATGACATCAATTTAAACGTTTTTAAAAGAGTCTCGTTCAGTGGGAACGCGGACTAATCAAACGCTGCGTGACCTTACGGAAACGCTCAATCATGTAACATGTGGCTTTAGCGGAATCGAACGTAGCCTAACAATTAAATTCGAACACGAAACGGTTGTCGTGAATTAAAAAACACAAATGATGCGAATTCAAAATTCCGCGAAAAAACAACATAGTCAATGAAAGAATGATTATGCCAGGTCGATATTTAAAGTGCTTACCTATTTAAGGTGTACGAACCGTTCCGTTTAAACCTCATTTTGGATGATAAAAGTTTGACGATTAAATCCAGAACTGTAAAATAATCAGACTGCTAACGGAGTATGTTACAGTAAGCTGCTGAAACACAAAGAGAGGGGAGTCCTGAGTACGAGACCGCCTCTAATGTCCGTTTGTCTCAGTAGGACTGGCTTAAAATCAGACAGGGGGATGAGAAGGAGATTAACAACACTTTCATTGTGTGCCTGTGAAGTTATTTATGGCAATAAACGTTAGGTTTAGTCTGAGTTACGTTCTTTCGGCGAAACCGCGGCATGGATGGGGGGTGTTTGATTGCATTCGGGAAACTGGCAAACAAAGGCGAGCGTTTCCAGCCAGACGAATGTTTAAAATTAAGTTTAAATATGCTGCCAAATGTGTGTGTGTGGGTAGAGCGAGAGAGAGAAAGAAACATGTTGGAGTAATACCACCAACTTCCATTCATTTGTCTGGTTCCAAACAGTGAAAGCTCAAAGGATCCTAAATAACGTTTTCGCTGTTTCCCAAGGCATAGCTATCAGGACGAGAAGAGCTAAAAATAACCATAATGATATACTTTAGGATCTCAACCATGAGACCAATAAAGCAACACTGGTTCCGCTTAGTGCCAGACTAAAAATAGCCTAGAACCAGACCAAAAGTGAGAGCAGTATAGTTCTGAAAGCAAGAAGACTGCATGTTCCATGTGTCCAGGGGAAAAGATTAAGTGAGCTAAATCAAGCCCTATAATACAATAAAACTAATTCATCTAGATCTAGAAATTGTCCTCTAATGGACAGATATGGTTTCTCTCTTTCAAATGTTTTTTTCTTGGCTATAGCCAAAAACTGTTTATTAAAAAAAATATATATAATAATAATTAAAGAACAAATCTCCATAACACATTAAGTTTGTAGAAAAACGTTGCTGCCCAATTTATTTAAACTTAAATTACATTAAACTTAAAAAATGAGTTGAATCTTATAACTTAACTTATTTTGATGAGTTAAAGCAATGTAAAAACACGTGTTGTCATATCGTTTTACAGCGCACACATAAGGGTCTTACACTTAGAAAAAAAAGTATTTCTTTTATATATTTACCCAAAAATGAAAATTCTGTCATCATTTACTCACCCTCAAGTTGTTCCAAACCTGTGAATTTATTTTTTCTGAACACAAAAGAAGATATTTTGAAGAATCTGGGTAACCAAATATGGGCCCCATTGACTTAATTTATGGAAGTCAATGGGGTCCATCAACTATCTGGTTACCGACATTCTTCAAAATATCTTCTTTTGTGTTCAGGTTTGGAACAACTTGAGGGTGAGAAAATGATGACAGCATTTTCATTTTTGGCTGAACTATCCCCTTAAATATAGTCACACTAATTGGCTTACAAATGGACTAACATCCTCAATTAAATAAAACATTGAAGCAGTGATGTTTTCTTTCCTATTTGTTGTGCTGGACTCATGAAATCCATCCCATGTGTGGTTATGTTTAATTTCTTTGAATTGTCCTGTCCTTCTAATTCAAATTCCCATGCACTCATCATCCCGTGGGGTGTGGTGAAATCTATTCAAATGCACACTTTGAAAAGTAGCCAGTTCCTTCTTACATTCTCAGTCTTGCGCGACCCTGCAGTATGATACAGAATATGATGAATGTGTTTCTC